AGAGAGAGAGAGACAAAGAAGGTCACTACAACCTGAAAATAATCCAAGAGGAAGAGACAATAATCATAAATATATATGCACCAAATACCAACTATACAAAATAAGTATTAATGGACATAAAAATTAAATAAGTACTAATACAGTTGTTATGAGGGACCTCAGAACCCCACTGTCACAAACAGACAGATCAACTAGACAAAACAACAACAAAGAAATATCAGAACTGAACCAAACTTTTGAACAAATGGACTTAGTAGATGTCTACAGTGTTCCATACCTCAACAACAGAATACACATTCTTCTCAGCCACACACAGGACATTCTCCAAAATAGACCACATACTACCTCATGGAACATCCTTAAGTAAATGCACAGGAATTGAAATTATACCACCCATATTATCAAACCATAGTGTAATGAAATTGGAAATCAATGCCAAAAGAAAACACAAGATCTTCATAAACACATGGAAATTAAATAGCACCCTCCTGAACAACCAATGGGTCACAGATGAAATTAAAGAAGAAATCAGACAGTTTCTACAATTAAGTGATAATGGCAATACAACATACCAGAACTTATGAGACACAATGAAAGCAATCCTGTGCAGAAACTTTTTTTTGGGTACCAGGGATCGAACTCTGGACCTTGCACTTGCAAGGCAGGCAGCAGAACCACTGAGCTTGCGAGGCAGAAGATCATCAATACCTACTTCAAGAACCAGTTTTCTAAGAAGATGGAAAACACAGAAGAAATGAACAGAGTCCTGGATACGTATGAATTACCAAAGCTCAATCAAGAAGATATAAAAATTCTAAATAACAAATATCAGTCAATGAAATTGAAGATGTAATTAAAAACCTACCAACAAAGAAAAGCCCAGGTCCTGACAGATTCACTGCTGAATTCTGCAAGAAATTTAGAAAAGATCTAATGCTGCTACTTCTCAAACTCTAATGAAATTGAAAGGGAAGCAGTACTCCCAAAGTCATCCTGGAAGCAAGCATTTCCCTGATACTAAAACCAGAGAAGGATCTAACGAAAAAAGAGAACTAAATGGACCAATCTCCCTAGTGAACATGGACATGAAAAATCCTCAATAAGATACTGGCAAACAGAATGCAGCAGGGCCAAGGATTTAGCTTAGTGGTTCTGCTGCCTGCCTCACAAGCACAAAGTCCCAAGTTTGATCCCTGGTACCAAAAAACATGTAACCAGAATGCAGCAAATCATCAAGAAGATTATACACCGTGACAAAGAAGGATTCATCCCAGTGATGTAGGGAAGGTTCAATATATGCAAATCAATAAACGTAATACATCATATTAACAGAGCCAAGGACAAAAACCATGTGATCCTCTCAATAGATGCAGAAATGGCATTGGATAAAGTCCAACACCCACTGATGATAAAACCCCTACAGAAAATTGGACTAGCTGATGAGGTGGGGTTTTTTTGGTTTTTTGTGGAGTTTTTTTTTTGTACTGGAGATCAAACTCAGGAGCTCATGCTTGCCAGGCAAGCGCTGTGCCACTGAGCTATATCCCAAGATGGTCTTTATCTCAATCTGATAAAAGCCCTCTATGACAAACCATCATCCAACATCATGCTAAATGGACAAAAACTTTCACTCTAAAATCAGGAACAAAAAAAGGATGTCCACTGTTACCACTCTTATTCAATATAGTTCTGGAAACATTAGGCAGAGAAATTAGACAAGAGAAAGAAATAAAAGGAGTAAGGATAGGAAAGGAAGAAGTTAAATTATCATTACTTGCAGATGACATGAT